TGGTGGTAGCATTTACATGATGTCGGGATGGTACTTTTGGTCCCACATATTTTCCCTATTCTTGCTGAAATTTTTTATATTTTCTTTGAATAAGTGCTGTTTTATTGATAATGTATAAGAGCAAACATTTTTGGCATGTAAGGGCCCCACGTATCACTTAAATTCAATTAAATATGTGTGTCTAGCTGAGTTGGTTTGAGTAGTAGACGTGATTTTTGAAACAGCAGATATGCTATGTCAAATTTAGGCAAAGACAGAGTGTTGAAATATCTTTTTATCATATCTTGAACATTTTGTCCAAGTGGGAGTTACTATGGGGAAGTAGAGTAGGTTTACATATGTTTTCAGAAAGAGACAGACAGACATGGTATTTCAACCAATACATTCCTAGTGAAGACTATGAAGTTGGAAAGGAAAATGAATCAAAGAGAACCTGTTACTTCTAGCAATCAACATTTGTGAACAACTCTCTGACTGTCCCCTTGAAAGTAGCTGCTGGCTAATGTCATCTAAGAGGAAGCGAATCAGCCGTAGAAGAGGATGCTGTCGGTCTTGTGCTTAATGAAGAACAGGAAAGGGTGATCACAATGGAAATGCAAATGGTGCTGATAATACACTAGAAATTTTTTATTTTTGATACACAGACTGAATGGTCTTTATTTTGCTGAATGTCTAAAATTCTACCATTAGACGCTCATCTCTTTATGTTAATAGGCTTCTTCCTTTTTTATATGTCCAGGGCTGCTCCTGCTAAGTCGCTTCAGTCGTGTTCGACTCTGTGTGATCCCATGGACTGCAGCCTACCAGGCTTCTCTGTCCATGGGATTTTCCAGGCAAGAGTACTGGAGTGGGGTGCCATTGCCTTCTCTGTGTCCAGGGCTATCAGCACACTAAGACAGAAGCAGTCATAACCTACTTTAGAGGGAATTCATTTGACCTGATGCATTCTCTCAGTGTTGAAATACACCTGACTTGGTGGTCACTACAGAACAAGGTGGTACAGACAATTTGGAATTTTAACTTGTTAGGAAAGAGAAGGTGCAGTATTTAAGCAATTACTTCCAAACCTGGCTGTATATCAGAAATGCATGAGTAATTGTTTTTAAATACTGAATGGTGTGGCCTGCGTGCATGCATAGTCATGTACGACTCTCTGCAACCCTTTGGACTGTAGCCTGGCAGGCTCCTCTGTTCATGGGATTTTCAGGCAAGAATACTGGAGTGGGTTACCATTTCCTCCTTCAGGGGATCTTCTCGGCCCAGGGATTGGACCCTCATCTCCTGTGTCTCCTGCATTGCAGCAGGATTCTTTACATGCTGAACCACCAGGGAAGTCCCTTAAAAACTGAATGCTGAGCCCCATTCCATGAATGTGAATCAAAACAGTGGCTCCAGAAGCAGTATTTAGGAGAGTAAAGCTTAGTGTACATTGGGCAGATGGAGATGGGAGAGTCACAGAGGAAGGGAGTTACCATATTGGATGGTGGCCTAAGGTGGTTGAGGGGCTGAGGCTGAGTGAAGAGAGGTCATTGAGGATAGGTCCTGAAAATAAAAGATTACTTAAAATTTCCTTTTTATTATAAAAACTTCCCTACTTTATCATTTTACTTGGGGTTGTCTCTTTTAAGACAAAGGTGAGTTGCAAAGGGATGAGAGAAAAAGGGAAAAAGCATCAAAGCAGTGAAGGCAAAAAATAACATAGTCTGGAAAATATTCTAATACCAAATATGGTATGATCAAGTGCAGTCAGAATACAGAATGGTGTGCACAGGTGTGTACACGAGGCTCTGGGATGTATGTACTGTGAGTGCGCCTATGTGCAGTGCGTGTGCTTACGTGTGTGTGCAGGGCGAGTATGGTACAGAAGAAGCTGAAGAGGAAGGCTGCGGGCAGATGGTGAAAGATTTTTATGACATGCCACAAAGTTGGGACTTTGCACTACATAATTTGGGCAGCCACTCAGTGTTTGATGTAAGGGGGTGACTGAATACAGATAAATGTTTAAAAAAATAATCCTGGTGACAAACACAGTTAAACCAGCTTAATAACAGTAGGGGTCCAGAAACAAAAAAGTGAGGGCCTGAACTGGGTGGGAGCAGAAGACACATGAGTTGGGGAGAACAGACAGAACTTGGAGATGGGCTGTGAGGCTGCCAACAAGGGAAGAGATCCCTGATTTTCATGTTTGCAGGATAATGCTGCCATTAAACACTACTAGATGATGTAGGAAAAACATTTCAGAGGAGACGCATCCACTTTGGTTGGGGACATGAGGTCACCTAGGTGGAGATATTTACTGAACCACAACTCAGTAGAGGAGTTTGACCAGAGATGCTGACCTGAGTGGTGGGCAGGCCCAAAGAGAACTGGTAGAAGCAAGAGGATCCAGCATGGAACTCTGTGAACACCAACAAGGACTGGGCCAAAGAGCCGAGCCTGTGAAGGAGACCAAGGAAGAACAGCCAGGAAAATAGGAGACAAACAGGGAGAACAGAAGTCAGGGATGGACGGTGTTTCGGGAGGAAAGAGCGGCCAAATTACATACTAACGGAGGACTCGCTTACTAAGAGGGAAATTAGAATATTTACAGCCCGAGGGGAAATTAGGGATTTGAAAATATTCATTAGACACGGGTGACTTGGGCAGGGTACCAGAGATAGCAAAAGATGAGGCCTCGAATCCAGGGGCAAGGATTATCCTTGGCCAAACAACACACTAGAGAGTGTAAGTGATGTCATGCATTTAAAAATCACATTTCCCTTTCCTCTATGGACCTATTACTTGGTTTATGGATTATCCAGGCCTCTTATGGTCTTTCATTTCCATTCTCAACCTGCTGGTTACTTCAATGATTGCAAGCACTTAAATCCAGGAAGAAAGGTGATAAATATGAAACCAAACTAAGAGCACCGCTTTTTCTTAAATACCTGTGAGAATGTTTACAGAGAGCCAATCTGAATCTCAGTGTTAAAGTGAGATTTGAGGGTTTTAAGTTTCTACAGTGGTTGACTTATATGCTGGAGTGTATGCTAGATGTATAAATACACACACACACACATGAGCTTTGACATTTTAATTTTTGGTATTTATATTGAACAATTTTACATGGATATAGCCTACAAACAACTACAAATATGTATGTATAATAATGATGAGTGTTCAAAAATTTTATACAGATAGGGTCATGCCATAAAAAACTGCAGCTGTCACAAACTGAGAGCTTTCAATTATTCACTTTAATCTTGGATATTCATGGTATCAAACAATGATGCTGTTTTCCTGGGAACTTGGGTTCAGATCACAAATGAGAAAGCTTTATTATGATCATCCTGAATTAAGAGAAAACCTGTTCCTTGAGTATGGAAACACCTGGAGCAGGAGGAAGAAGGAACTACACAAACTGTTAGGGCAGCTGTCATTTTATATCACCTCTGCTGGCTTGCAGCAAGGTGTTGAGTTCTCCCTGTTAACCAGCTCTGGGGGGAAAAAAACTCTGAACCTGATTTCATGCCTTGCAGTGCCACATTCCTCTAAAGTTATTTCTCACTGCTTTGTTAAGAACAAGCCTCAACACTTCGAAGATAAGAAAATGATGTTATATTTCCATAGCTTCTGCTAATAAAGGGTATTTAAAGAGAGCTGAAAAGCTTGGACTGAAGGGTCCATTAGCTCTTAGGAAGGTGGTGGTCTCCAGGGACTGAATCTCAAGGTGAAAGTAACTTTATCTGAAACCTCTAGATTAGGGTTGATGACCCCTCAGAACATCTTTGGGGTCCCAGGAGAGAATATCTGTGAAGTAGCAGACCCAGGATTAGACAAAAAAACTAACTGATGCCTATTCTCTGCTGGGGGTGAGGACTATTTCTGTTTCTCTGCTATTTTTCTGTATTTCTGCTATTTCTATAACCTGGAGCAAAGGCTACAGGATCTTCTGCATTAGATTTCTTTCAGGATCAAGGACAGCAACTGGCTACATGCCTCAAAGGAGGGCAGTTTAGCAAAGATTTATCCTCTTGGTATAAACATTTGAAAATAAGAGACCATTTTTTTTTGCTAGCTATTCAAATTACAAAATACAAGTGTGACTCCCCCACTCCACCCCAAAAGTAAACTAAAGTTCTTGAAATAAGCACACAGGAGGCTCTGGATAAGGTTTAGACAACGCACTCTTGATGGACTGTGGTCGCGCCGCAGCTGGGCACCCCCAGACTCATTTCCCCACTTAGTGAAAAAGGGGTCAGGAGAGGGGCGGATCCGGCTCTCGTCGCCTTGCCCTAGGAGCTACAGCTGCGGGTAATCCTTTTGTTGTAGCGCCAGAGATCGAGAAAGTGGAAAGAACTTTTTCCGGATCTAAGTTTACATTCGTTGAATAGACGACGTTACAATAAGAGGAAGGCAGCAGGGCAGAAGAATTCCCCTCTGTCAAAAGCACTTAAGAGGCGCTTGGTTTTCCTACGTCCCCCAAGGGAAGACACGGCAGTGCTGCGTTCTGGAGAAATGAGGACATTATTCACACACTCCGGGTTGAAAAATAAGCGTATTGGGCTCCCAGGCTCCTGCAAAGCCACCAGGCACCGCGCTGAGGGCAGGCTGCCGCCCAGGACCGAGTTCCTAGGATGCACAGAACGGCGGAGTCCGGGTCTGGCGGAGCACCTGTCTGAGCCGGACTGCAGGCGCCCGGCTAATCCCCACTCGCCCACGCTTGTGCGCGCTTGCGTGCCTGCCTGAGAGCGAAGCGCGCTTCCAGTTAACTTCGAAAGGTGCTTTACGGACAGGGTGAGACACGCCTTATGGGGACACCAGGCGGGGGCGAGCCGGAGCCGCAATGGGGAGTCTCTTTCCGTCCCGCTGGGATGGCTGGAAGCCTGGGTCCACGTGGAATCAGAGCCGAGACGCGCGTCGCCTGCGCCTCGCGGGCGGAGAACTCCCGGCTCATGCGCCCACCCGGGGACCCACGCAGGTTCCTCCTACAACCGATGCGGAGCGAAGACGTCGCTTACCTTGACTGAGCACTAACACCAGCTGCAGCGGCGTGCCGCCTGTCCGTCCTGGCCGCATCCTGAGCCCGTCGCCCTGGCGCTGGAGCTGCTGTGGGTTTACGCGGGGATCCAAGGACACCGAGACTCTCCAGAAGCCGTCCCGAGGGCTTCTCTCCCGCTGCCGGGCGTGAGCCGGGAAAAGTTGCCCGGCAGCTCCCGGAGCGCCAAGGCCCGCCCCTTCGCCTCGGCACTCAGCAGACCTGCCCCGGCCGGCCCCGCCCCGCCCGCCCACAGTCTCCGCCCAGCGAGCCGCACCTGGGCCCCTCCACACCCCCGGAAGCCTCACCTCCACCCACACACACCATCCCAGCCCCGGGACCCAGGAAGCCGCGGGGATGCGGGCTGCGCGGCTGGGGGCCTTTCCTGCCTGCCCAGCAGACGGCGAAAGTCAGGCAGTCACTACCCCGCCCCCCGACAGTCTGACGTAAACCCGGGAGAGACCCCGGGTCCCAGAGAGACGCTGGCCCTCGTGCAGGCCTCAGGCTTCTGGCAGGGGTGGCGGGGGTGGCAGGGGTGGGAGGGCTGGAGGGAGCCATGACCCCCAGCCTCCGTTCTCAGGGGCTGCGCGGTGCCTGCCTTCTCTGCCTTTCCCAAGTGGGTGGGGAAACGGACAAAAATAAGCGCAGAATGACCAGGTTAGAAACTAACCCGACAGGAAAGAAGATCTGCCCACAAGTTATGATTATCCCGAAGTGATATTTAAGCCAGAGCTGCTGCGGGGGGTGGGGGGGTTGTGTGTTAAAATTCTCATTCCTTCCTCCCCAAGATAATAAGCAGCTGATTTCATTGTTAACTTGAAGGGATTTACTTCAAGACACAAAGACGAGAGCGAGCCCTGGTATGAACTCGCGATGCTTCCTGTTTGCATTACCTTGTGAGTATTTTCTTCCATTATTTCAGGCCCAGCTCTGGAAAGAGAACATTCCATAACTACTTCTGAGCTTTTTACTTCCTAACCTAAGAAATAGGATAGTCACTTTTCTTTAAATCTGGGTTTTCCTCCGAAAGTTCGCCCACAAATTCCCAGCACATTGCTGAAGCCAGGATCCTTCCAGTGACTACTTTCATGGTGTAATCAAATGTTTTAATAAACTAAATGTAAGGAGTTACTAGTCCAATCATTGTTATTAGCACCATTCTAAACCTATATGAAGCAGGTAACTATGAGAAGGGGCTTCCCTAGTAAAGAATCCGCCAGCAATGCAGGAGACCCAGGTTCGATCTCTGGGTGGGGAAGATCCCCTGGAGAAGGGAATGGCTACCCACTCCAGTATTCATGGCTACAGTCCATGAGGTCGCAGAAAAAGACATTTGCCCCTTGGAAGGAAAGCTATGACAAACTGAGACAGCGTATTAAAAAGCAGAGACATTACTTTGCCGACAAAGGTCTGTCTTGGTCAAAGCTATGGTTTTTCTGGTAGTCATGTAGGGATGTGAGAACTGGACCATAAAGAAGACTGAGCACCAAAGAGTTGATGCTTTGAAATTGTGGTGCTAGAGAAGACTTTTGAGAGCTCCAAGGAGATCAAACCAGTCAAACCTAAAGAAAATCAACCCTGTATATTCATTGGAAGGACTGATGCTAAAGCTGAAACTCCAGTACTTTGGCCACTTGATGGGAAGAGCCGACTCATTAGCAAAGACCCTGATCCTGAGAAAGACTGAGGGCAGGAGAAGAGGGTGGCAGAGGATGAAATGGTTGGATAGCATCACTGACTCAACAGGCATGAGGTTGAGCAATCTCTAGGAGATAATGAAAGACGGGGAGGCCTGGCGTGTAGCAGTACATGGGGGGCACAGAGAGTCAACTGAACAACTTTGGAAAGGATGCTGTGCTTGGGATACTGCCACGAGGAAGCAAAGTGGTTCAAGATGGGAAGGACTTAACTGGTAAAAATCAAATGCTCCCCTTTACCATAGTTAGTGCTGGAGTCTTGAATTGTTAAAGTATTAAATTGTTGTTTATCAGGTGCTACTGCTTATAATCATGACTATAAACTCAGTACATTTGAATCCAAAATATATAGCCCCTAGTTATTTCCTGTTTTCTTATCTGTCACTTACTAACTCGATTTACTAATCCTTACAAACACTCAAAGGCATTTTTTTTTCTGCCCTGTGGATGCTACTCACCTGCTTACTAAGACTCCAGTGGCACCTGAGAAGACGTAGGTGGCCGCTCACTAACCCTGACCCCCAGTCATGATGCTGCTCCCAGACTTATTGCAGGAAGTCAGCCAGGTTTCAGGCAGATGAATATCTGTCTGTTTCCTTCTGACTCACTGAAATGTGAGTAAGTGTTTGGAACAGACCCTTGTTTGGGAGGCAGTGAGTTCTCTTCGTGTGAGACAGGAGTCTGTGCTTTGTCTCAGAGTGGCTGGAGAGAAAATGCACCTTTTTTGCTTTTGTGCCCAGAACTAGACAAATTAACATGCTGGCATGAGGTACAGGATAAATCAGGAGCTATATTTTTCCAGAGCAGGCAATAATTTCACATTTCAAGAAACAGAGAACCACCGTCTGCCCCACATTAAGTTTTTTAAGAGTGTAAAGGTTTCCTGACACAGAACAGTTTGAGAACTCCCACCTTAATCATCCTAGGAACTATCCTGTCTAGGTGTAATTTTGCCGGCCACCACATTCTGAGTAGTAAATAAGACAAAGGCAGGTTTTCTGAAACTCTTTGGTCTCAGGATGCCTTGGATAAATGAATACAAAAATGTGATTAGGTACATGATGGAACGTTATTCAGCCATAAAAAGGAAGGAAATTCTGCCATTTGCAGTGACATGGATGATGAACCTAGAAGACTTTACAGTAAGTGAAATAAGCCAGACAAAGGCAAATACTGTATGATCTCACTTACATGTGAGACCTAAAAATGTTAACTTATTGTACAGAGAGTAGAATGGTGGTTACCAGGAGCTAGGGTGTGGGGAATAGGGTGTGATGTTGATCAAATGGTACAAACTTTCAGTTTTAACATGATTAAGTTCTGGAGACCTAATGTACATCATGGTGCCTATAGCTAATAATACTGTCTTGTATACTTGAAATTTGCTAAAAGAATAGATCTTAGGTGTTCTTACCCCACACACAGAAAAAATAAATATATAAGATGATGAATATGATGAATATGTTAATCAGTTTGGTTGCAGTTCTCTCATAATGTTATGCATATCAAAACTTAATTTGTCTATTTTAAATATATAAATGTTTTAATTAATTATCCCTCAATAGAGCTAGAAAAAAATAGGATCCCAAAGAACTTCTGTTTATATGAATTGTTTCTATCAGTGTTTACCATGGAAAATATTGAGACAGATAAATTTTCAATATTCATGTGTTAATTCAGCATAAAATAATAGTAAAATTTTACATGTTAACATAAATAATACATTTGATGAAAAATAACTTTCCCAAAATAAAAGAATTAATGAGATGAATGATACTATTTTACATTTATGCCAGTCTTTTTAATATCTGACTTAAACCCTTGAATTCTCTTATCTGCTTCTGCATTCAGTCTGTTGTAGAGAGGTCGTTTTTGTGAAGTTATATGAATTAAACCATCATCACACAGATACCTGGATGGAAAAATAAAACATAATTGCAGATATTCTTCTGATACTACACCAAAATTCAACAAGTGGTGTTTTGAAAAGACTAATTATGAAACCATGGGTTAAATCCCATTTCCCCTGCCTTCCTTCATCAAAGTCATTTTAAAACTTGCATGTCCTCCAAGCTCCATGTAGCCTAAATCATGTTTGCCTGAGTGAGTTGCTTTCTAGAAACTTTTAGGTCAGCTGTGTCTAGTTTGAGCTGAGTTGGCTGCGACTGGATAGGACCACCAATCCTTGAACCAAGTGTCCTGGGTGACCTTTGAAGGTGCAGAGGTCTGTAGCTTCGTTACAGCTGCACAGAACCGTGATTGCCGCGCCTTTTTCCAATCACCTTTCCCTATGTTCCCCACACCTCAGATGCCCTGCTTCTTCATTCGTATCCAGTAAATACCTCCAGCCTTTTGCCCTCAGGGAGATGGGCTTGAGATTTGTTCTTTCATCTCCTTGCTTGGCTCCCTTGCAAATAAACCCTTGCTGTGGTGCAAACCTTGGCGTCTATCTTTGGACTTGCCAGGGGTTGGGAAAGGTGAACCTACTTTGGTAACATCACAATGTGAAACCTGAAACCATTATCAGTGAACTTTCCTACCCTAGTGCTGGTTTGTAACATAGATGAAACTTGAAATTGGTCCTTCACAGAGTATGTGGTGGAGGAGACAGGCAAGTAAACCACCAGCTACAGGATAACATCCAATGAAGTGAAGTCGCTCATTCGTGTCCGACTCTTTGCAAACCCATGAACTGTAGCTTGCTAGGCTCCTCCGTCCATGGGATTTTCCAGGCAAGAATACTGGAGTGGGTTGCCATTTCATTCTCCAGAGGATCTTCCTGACCCAGGGATCCTACCTGGGTCTCCCACACTGCAGGCAGACTCTATTGTCTGAGCCACTAGGAAAAACTCTAACATCCAATAGGTAAAGGCAGAGAGTGGCTTAGGGTCACAGAGGGGCTCATCTGAATGAGACATGGAGGGTCTTGGAAGATTTTCTAAGGAATACTTACACTACATTTAGAAGGACTTCACTTGGAGTCAGCTGCCTCTAGTTTGCGCTGAGCTGGTTGGCTGAATAGGACCACCAACCCTTCAACTGGGCATGCATGATAGTACACAAAGGGCAAAGAGCGATGGAAGAAATGGTAAGATGGAAAGATGCAAACACTGCAGATTGGAATGTGCATGCATGATCACTTGTGTCCAACTCTTTTGTGATCCTATGGACTGTGTAGCCCACCAGGCTTCTTTGTCCATGGAATTTCCCAGGCAAGAATACTGGAATGGGTTGCCATTTCCTCCTCTGGGAGGTCTTCCCAATCAGGGATCAAACGTTGATTCTCTTTCTTCTCCTGCATTGGCAGGCAGATTCTTTACCACTGCACCGCCTGGGAAGCCCAT